TACCTTGGCAAGTTTTGGGTCAGATGTGTACTAGTTTTATCTTTTTCGAACATCCATATTGTGCACCCTTGTGTCTCTCTGACATTCAGTGGTAAGTTGATTGAAGTTTACTGTTCTAATCACAAATTCGGTAATTGCAGTTCAGGGGAAGCCATACTGTTAAAATTCAAATTTGGTATTTCATGGAAATAAAAACAATCAAAGACATTGAAAAAAGTGAACTTGTTTGGCAAACTATTTTAATGATATTTTCATCATATTCTTCCAGATAAATCATATGCTCTACTGCTTCTTAAAGAACCCTAAGTGTGCCCTGTTTAAAAAGGTTCTGGAACCAAAATATGTTGAACAGCTTGGTGAGTGTATCAATTTATTCTTTTTATAGAGCACATGATATACACATGACATAAATTTGACATGGGAACCTCTACCCTTGAGACTCAACCATCTTAGTAATATCCTGGGCAACCACTGCATTTACCCTCAAGTTGTCTTCTTACTGAAGTATGAAAGTAAATGTCATTCTTAACTTATTTACATAATTTATATTTATTTATTTCATGTTTCAGCTGAAACCCCACAGCCATTCTATGTGGGAGTAAAGAGAGCCAACACACAGAACCAAGTCACACACTGGGTGAGGCAATTGCTGGCCTACTATACAGGAGACAGACTGAACAGCAGTTATACTAGCAGTAACTGTTCTTCTAGCAATAAGGTGAGAGGTAGACAGATCCAAACTGAATATAGTGAGGGGGAGGCATTTCTTATTCACTTAAAGCAGCATTTTTGAAAGAGCAGGGGTGGAAAGAGAGAAAAAATTATACCCCTTAAAGGTCAGTTTCTGAAAATTTTTCAAGAATCTTAAGTGAAATGGCAGTTTGTTCCAACAGGAATTAATAACAGGCTTAGTAATTTTTCAAGGTAAAAATTAACTCCATGGAAAAGTGTACATTATGATCCCTATAGAATAAGCCTTTTTTCACCGAAGTACCACAAGACTCTCAACACTCTCATAAATGGAAACACTCAATATCCAGTATACAAATTACAGTTGTGTATTGTTTGTTTTTCTTTGCTTTCAGCTTTATAATTACTACTGGATCAGTCATCCTCCAGATGGGATGTGTATTAGGACAACTGCTAATTTCTCAGAGGCAGAATCACCAGCATTTTTAGATAGAAGTGAGTCAGTGGTGCAAATGTAATCTCAGTCACCAGGGTGAAGTATCTGGTGCAAGCATTAGTTGCTTCATATTTGTTAATTTTTGATTGAGAAGTATAAATATAGAATGTAAATGATACTCAGAAAAGTTAACATTAATGAATTGCTTATACCGTAACAATGAAAGGTAAACATGAAGGCTGAATGTAGTTCAGTTAAAATGTACATATTAAAAGATAAGCTATCATGAAACAGTGAATATACAGTAGATTCTACAAGTCCAATGATTGTTTATCTGGTAACAGATGTTGTAGAACTTAAATAAAGTTTCTAAATCAATTACCGGACTTAGAATATAATCTAGTTGCTGCCTATGAACATTGCCTACCTTGTATCATTCCATCACTTAAACATATTTTACAGTCCCTAATTGCCCCAGATTATGCACAGGCTGCTGTGCCTGTATGTATGTTATATTATTTCATATACACATGGTCTCTGTCTCTGTGTTTCAGACTTTGACACCTATGACTGGTCATCTGGTCAGTATTCTACGTGGACAGAGAGTTCCTGGGCAGGGGACGCCATGCAGGTTAGGATATTCCTAACGCCAAGTCAGCACATGAGTGTAAGTATTATCACAGTTCTCCTTTGCACACAGAGTTAATCAGCTATGATTTGCTTCCTATGATTTTCCCTCTTAAAACTTAGCTTATAGTGATGATAAACATTATAATATTGTGGTATATAGCTGAGATAAGCATGCTTTGCTAATTTTGGAAATGTGCATTTTTTCTTTGTATAGTATGCTTCTCCTACAAACATGAAAACAATGCTTTTTATTTATTGGGAGATAAAAACTCTTTTCCTCCCAAAGCAGTTTTTAGATCTGCTACCTAGGGTATCCATGCACAGTCTTGGCAATGGCCTTGATCTAAAAGGATTGGTCTCATAATTACCCACATTATCCTCGTGTCAAGAAGTTAAAAAATCACTGCATCCTTCCCCATGCCTTCCTAGTGCTCCCCAAGTGAAAAGATACATCCTATCCTAAATTATGCCTTTCCATTGCTAAGCTTAAAGGGTTCTTCCCTAATCTTTAGTTATATGCTCCTCAAGGGTTGCACTTTACCCTTACCTATGCCTTGCCTTCAAGTTAGTGAATTCTATGTTGACTGTCCTTTGGGGTATATATAGCATTTACTGGGACAAAAGCTTTCAAATTTACTTCTGAATTTTCAATGCCAGTTTGTCAGTGCCCTGTCTCAGATTTTGTGGATAGTTGCAATTTAGATATATGTTCCATAGAATCAATGTAAGTCAATGTAAGTCATCATACTGTAAATCAAATTAGTCTCAAACAAACTTTGTGGAATGTAGTTTTTGTTGGTAGCCTAACCCCAATCTTTTTTAGTGTCTCAAACTAATACATTTTCTCGTCTGGAGATGTTCAATTTATGTCTGTATCAATGACAGGTTTCATCCACTTTGATTTCAGTGGATAACACTGGGTTCTGGACTTGGCTTGAGCCTTGTTTCCATAGTAATAGCATTTAAATTGGACAGAAAGGCTTACCTGTTGTTCTCAGAACCAGTGGAGGGAATTTGATGTGATCATCTTCTAGATTTAGGCAGTATATTTACAATGTATCTACATAACACCTGCATGTAGTAATCTCCCTTAAACAAAAGTTGCATGGCATGAGTATGCTTCAGTTTATGCATGTTGCATGGGTTGTTCTGAATTGGTTGTTTTAATTGCAACCACAAGGCTCTTTTGTCCCCTTCATTTATTCCAGTCTGTCACATCTACTTCAAACATTGCTAATACTTATGCACTATTCAACAAATTGAACCTTTATCTCTTTTATTAAATAACAATAAATAACAATAAATATAGAAATAAATAAATATAGAATGCATTCTTCCACTTTTAGGCTTGGTTTTGGTGGTATGTCTGTTAACTTGCTTGATTTTAGAAATTAATTCTACCAGGGTGCATTTCTAGTTCTAATATGAATTGAATTATATAAGATTCACCCAATGATGTTGCTGATGATAAAAGACCTTAATTTAGGGTATATATATATTTAAAAAAAAAAAAAGAATAAGTAAATGATATATGAACAATTAAGAAAAGATGCAGTAGGACTTAAATTATTGACTTTAGACATTTTTAGATGACAGAAATTCTTCTTTATTGTGTATGAAAAATATTTTGGGAAATTAACATTGGTTAAATTTTTTGGATTTTATTGTATTTATTTTAAAAAGTCCTGGAATTTGATTCCAAAATGTTGCTTGTTTCCAGAACCTGACGTTTGCCACAGGAGTGGTGCTAATGGTGGTAGCCATGATTGTCACATACTTCATAAATTCAAGAGCTGACTTCCTGTTCACAAAGCCAGATTCCTTCTAAATCTCCTGTATGTATCTTCACTGGGAACAAAGCCAGTTGTTCATTCACCAAGGTTACCACCATCTGTGCTCAAAAATGAACCCTTTTCTTGGAAACTTTCAAGCCTGAAGAAAATTACTTTGGTGTAGCATGGAAAGGAAGCCATTCACAGAGAAAGGGATTTTTTTTACATCATTCATGTATTGTATGACACTACATTTTATAGACTATTCAGTTAAATTATCATTAAAAATTATAAATGACAAGAAGTTGTGTAACTACTGTGATGTAATAGAAAAGTCACCAATGCACATTTAAAAAGCTTTTTTTATTTACTTATTTACATATTTATTTTTAATGTAGCTTGCTCTTCAGTATTTTTGAATAGCTAAAAAATTAGCATGAGATTTAGAGACATACTTGTTACCTTGGAGGCAAATAAAACCTTTTGCATTACTTGCTTATAAAAGTGAAGATTGGCAAAATTAAACCCCACATGAAGGGCTGACCAGTGCATGCTGAGTATGGTATATTGGATATATGCCCTTTTTACAGAGTTGTTCTTTACATATAGTTGAACATGACGTCCACTGGAAAGCTGATGGATTAAAATGGCAAAACTTTGACCACTTTTGATAGTCAGAAAGTTTTTATTTATGTTAGATCCACATATTTGATTTACCTGTTGACTGTTTCATCTGTTCACTCAGATAGACTTGGTCACAATAGAATTACCTGTTCAGGTGAAGGTGAACAGGTAATTACCTCAGTCTTGATGATTTTTTTCAAATATCAAAACTGAGATCCAGTGAAACTGTTTTCTCATTTGACCACTTTTGTGCTGAACAGGTTGTGTAAAATCATATAACTGCAATTTTTCAGTTTTGTTATAATGTATATTTATGTAAATGGGCAATGTAACTTATTTGAAGTTGTATAGTTGTAATTTTTCTTTACAAACAGGGTGTAGAAATAAGTTTTTGTTGTTGTTGGTTATTCAGTGAAAGGAGGTAAGGAAATTATGTGATAAATTTATTGTATTAAGTTGAATCATGATTACAAAACTTGAACATACACAATTTTTTTGTCCTCAGGTATTGGTGCTGAAGTTTTCTAAACTAAGCAAATGAAATTGTGTAAATAAGCAGTTTACTTTTCAACTCAAAATCNCCAATTCCACTCTCAGTAACTGGGAATGGGATTCAATGATAATATAGCACACCCTCACTCCACTGTAAGATGATAATCAGACTCCCAGACTTGGGACTGGTCCTATGAAAAACATATCAACACCCAACCTCTTATTTTATGGGTGTCAAGCATGTTTACAGATACCAAAGACAACTCCAACTTGCAGTCTGTGACATCAGCCGCCTTCCCCTTGGCACATTCCAGTAAAATTAAAGCTATTCCTGAAAAAAATTGTATTTTTTTCCAGAGGAACCAGTAAAGTTTTAGACCCTAGGCTTATGGCTTGACTTTCGCAAGTAGGCTACAAATATTTTATCACAGACTGTTGCTTATATTGGTCTTTGCCTCCATTTTGAGTTAATATGAAATAACATATTCCATGATTCCAAATGACTTTATCCCACTGGTGTTTTTATCACACGTATAAGATGTGGTCCAAAATGTTTTCAGTTCTGCCATGACTGTGCTACATGTAAGAATCAACCATGACTTGTAGCTTGTGAGTGAGAAACAGGCAGCGGCCTCCTGAACAGCAAAATGTGAGGCTCTGGAAAAAAACAGTTATCACTTTTATTTACAATTTTGTCTTGGTACATTTTCAACTTAAAAGATGCCTCATGTACACAATTTCTGTTGAGTTACAATTTTATTAGTATAATTCACAGTGCGCAGGATTAGAATCAATATAAAATTTCTAGACTGGTGTCAGAGTTACAATATATACTCTTTACATTAGCACTTTATTACTGGCTGCCCAAGTTTTACTTACATATACAACAGAATTGTTTTTTAAAGATAATAAAGCAAATGCATCTAAAAACTGATATCAGTGCAAGAAGATATATCTACCAGTGCTAAGGACCTACCAGGACTATGAGCCATATAATGTACCCATCCTGGAGACTGCTGTACTCCTATATTTCTCCATTCTGTCTCTGTCATTAAATGAGTCTTAGGAACCATCTCTGCAATGTCACTTGGCAAGATAACATGTCTGAAAAGATTGATTTAGTTAAAAAGTTTAACAAAAGGCAAAATCACTTGGAAAGCTGGCAATTCAACATAAGCTTTATTCATTTACTAATTAACATTTTTTCAAAGAAAATGCAAATTAATTAATAATAATAATGATAGATAAATAAATAAATTAAAAAGACAATTGACCAAGAATGATATGAGCAGTATAATATATTATACATTTTATTAAGAGAATACACTTGTTTTTAGTATCGACTGAAGTATGAAATGGTTATAAAAACCCGCGTGTCGTTTCAGTTTATTCTGGGGATCACTGACGCCTTACCTGTACTCATATTTATCATCAAAGTACTTTTCAGAGTATTGGATTTCAGAAGCTGGCATTGTCCCAATGTTGTTATCGATATCTTTAGTATCCCTGTCTGGAAAGCGAGATTTACTCTTTTAATCAGGGACATCACATAATACATATTTTCAAATACACCTAGAGTAAATTAAAAATCACAAGCCTGCTGCAGTGCCTCGTCAAATAATTAGCCAATTTCTGGGCGCCACACTTTTCTCGAGATAATAAAGCTAGTCAATTCTAAAGCTGCAAGAAAAATGCCGCTTTTCTTGAAAACAGACACATTTAAACATTGACACCTCTAATTTCCTCTCTCTGAATGCATTAGACTAAAAATAGAAGAGCGTGTCCCAGTAAAATACCTGTGAATGAATCTTCCAGGTAAATTCACCTGTCTCTGATTTCTAATCTGGCGGATCTCGTTCAATACGGTAACTCACGAGAGGTCAGAAAAGGTCAAATCATTCAAGATGGCGATGCTCTTCAGGTGACCTTCGTTTGCTTCTAATTTTTCATAACATTGGTTATATGTTTGCTTTTTGCATTTAAAAAGAATGCTGATTTGTGAAAATGCGTTATTCAATCTTTTTGTTTAAAAGTTAACTTAATAATGACGTTGTCAAATGTCAAATTTTCGTTTAGAGAGGTGAAAATTATTACGAAACAGCCAAGCGGTGAGCTCGGTTGTAGCACATTATGTATTTATTTTCGCTACATTTACGTCGTTGATTTTCTGCTGATTTTAGGGTAGCAGGTAGGCATTATGGCCTCCTGTCATCCAAGCAGGTGTCCAGTCCCATCATGTCTAAACTGTGAGTACTATTATATTGTCGAGGCATTTCTAGTCTGTAGACTCGAGCCTTGAAATTCCTATTTACATGTATTAACTAAGGTTGCTGTATTCAGTAATTTTAGGGCTTAACACGTTTGAAATTGTGTTCTTTATAGATCTGGGGATTTGGTAGGTTAGTAGGTAATATAATGACAATCAAGGCTTGCTAATCTCAGTCTCCCTTCTCAGACAAAACATTGCTTTTAAAACAAAGGTTTTTGACCCTGATCAGTGATAGTGAGACTCTTAAAGTACATTTGTTTTTTTTCTTTTCTTCCTTTTATAAATATATATATATATATATGTATATATCCAGAGTCCCCATGGCATCTGTGAAAGCCCTGACTACTAAACCTCCAAAGACTATCCAAGAGGTGGCCCAAGGTGAAATGCTCGATTTCTGGAAGAAAAATGAAACTCTGAAGAGACCCATTTCTCCACATCTTACCATTTGGCGGTGAGTGACACATAAACCAGTAGTAGAAAAATGTCACTAGTATCTCAAAAGCTTCAAACACTTCATGCAGGGTCTCTCTCTTTCTCTCTGTCCGTAACACGCACCCACACACACACCCACTCACATGCTCACAGTGTGTACATTACTTAATTTGTTGCTCTTAAACTTCCTTTGTCATGAAATTTAAAAAATCTGAAATTAAATATTACAGTATTGCCAATTAGGTAAGAAAAGCTGTTTGTAGCCTTTATATGATTTGTATATTGTTCCCCTCCTTTCAGGAGCCAGCTGCCAATGACACTTTCATTTTTCCACAGATTCACTGGAGTTGCAATGATTTGTGGTGAGTTAGGATTATTTTTAGCATATATTTATCTTCTTCAAACCCAAACACTTACCATGTTAAGTTTTGTAGCATTTCCTGGCAGGTAAGAACTGAATGGATTTGCACTTCTCTGTAAAAGGATTAACTTTATACCTTATTTGCATACTTGCCATAAAGAAAAAAAAAAAATCAAAACTTCCACATATTCAGATTTACTGTATTACTTACACAACTTATTTTTCTTTTAGCAACCTATGTCTTCAGCTGGGTGATGCTGGCTTCCCCAGTGGATTATCAGTGGTACATCACCTTCCTTAAGGACCTCCATATAGAGGGTTATGCAGTGGGCCCATCCTTTCTCTTTCTAGCCAAATTTATCATTGCTTTGCCATTTTGCTATCACTGCATCAATGGAGTCAGACATCTGGTAAGTAGGCTGTAGTATTATAACAGTGACAAGTGTTTTCAGGCACATGGATGGATGTATATATTGTTTAGTTCTAATTCAGAGATATACATTCCAACAGATGCATTTTATGGAACAGATTTTGCTCTTTGTTGTTAGCTGAAACATACTGAATCATGGTGTAACTCGTACTAATTTTCGGAGTCTAATATATCCTAGTAATGTGGCCCCAATTTTATGTTTTATCATAATCTAAGAAATTAAGTCAACCAATGTTCTTTTGATGGATGCATCTTATCTGTTTCAGGCCTGGGACCTGGGCAAAGGTTTTGATCTCCCCACTCTGTACAGAACTGGCTACTTTGTCTCTGTACTCTCCATTCTTGTCGCACTCTACCTGGCTTCACTGTCATTCAAGGCACCAGAGTAAACTGCCCATAAGGAAAAAAAAAACTGAAGATTTATAAATCTGTGCAGCTGATTCATTTATGAGCTGTATTATATTGAAACACTGAAGAATAACGAGTAATCTTTTTTGTGTGTGTGGTGAAAAGAGACGATATGAAACACTGCAGCAAGTTATTTTGATAATATTGAAGTGACTTGGCAATGCATATTTTATGTTATTTACATGTGAAGCTTGTACATTCATAGGACATGAATGTAAAAAGGAAATAATATTTGTGTACTGCTTTTTTATTATGAAGTAACCTCCTTGAAATAATTTCTTTATGATATTGATTCAACAAAGATACCTGCTTCAAAAATGCTTCAAGGTTAACCTTAAAAGACCACCTTTAAAGGTGTCTCTTCTTTGATAGTTGAAAGATGTTATTATTCAGTAAATTCTAAAAAAGCTTGCTTGGCCCCTTCTTTGAAGTAAATCACATGGCTGTATGCCTTTGGTTTAGCTTGTTTATAGTTGATAGCTTTCAGATATCGTGTAATAGGTGATCTGTGTTGGCTGTTACCTTGGTTGTCATGATTTATTCATGCCTAACAAGTGTTATGATGGTAATGCCGCACTAGATTACCATAATGCATTAAAAAAGCTCTCAAAGTTGATTAAGTACACCATTATGCATTAAAAAACTCTGAAAGTTGACTAAGAATCGTAAATGGCCATAATAAAATTTCTTTTGGCAGTTAATAGCATGCTACTCCAAGGCCATTAAAAAAAGACACCATAGAGACAAACTCAATTGGGTTGGGCATCAAGTGAGAAATTACTTGTTTATTTTACAATAAATGATGAATCAAAGTCAAATTATTTTCAGCTGCATCTTTCGCCCTGCTCTCAAAAGCCGTGTCTCAAATTCTACAAATTTGCCATAATACAAGCCAAGTATTTTCAAATAATGACGATGTTTTTAATGAAATTGAACATATCCTTTTTATAGTGGTTGCAAAAACCTATTCAATTATTTGCAAAGTTTTAAACGTTTTTTATGTATCGATCTCTCTTTCTATGCAGTATTTGACATTTGATAACATACAGTCGACAAATATTTTGAATCAATACTTTTGACGTTTTATTAAAACTGCTGGTACCAACAGCTGCAAGGTTTTTTTGTTTAACAGAGCAAAAGCTTTGAACTTCCATTGGCTTGAAGCCCTTTGCAAGTCATACTTTCTGAATATCCATGATATGTTTATTTCATTATTAAAAATTGACGGTCAGTATGTTGTTAAGCATTATGTAATATTTTATCACAAATGAAGAAAACCCTATTTTGGGCACTGCTCCCATGATGATCATTGAGGGAAAACCATGATCACTTACTCTTCTCACACTTACAGGAAAGAAACAGGACTAAAATACAGCTTCAATTGGAAATTTTTCTAGAAATTATATATATATATTTTTTGTCAGAATTATATGAAAAGAAAATTGTATTACTTATTATTTTTTAACTTACAAGAATGATTCTTAGGATTGACATACAACTCAAATGAGAATCAATCATTTTTTTATTGACTTTATGTAATTTTTGTGAAATTTTCATTTTTCTCATTCTGGCATTTTCTAAGTATGAACTAGAACTCTCATCTGCCTGAAGCCTTATGCTTTTACTTTTATCAGCATTACCTGTACATTTGTACATTATCTGTACAGTATTTGTCTGTACATTTTGCAGGTTTGCTGCCTTGTTTGTAAAATTACTTCAAAAGTTAGATTATTGAATTTTATAACCTATTCGCTTATTGTTATTTATATATTCACGTGGCATGAAAATGGGCGCCCCCTCTCCCCCCCTCCCCCCACGCATCATGCCCTAAGGACTAACGTGACTGCAAAAAGTGACAGAGAGTAAGCTCACCCCCTTCCCCCTTTATCCACCCAACCCTGCCCCTTATACCTTTAACACTAGATTGCTGCTTCACATCACGCGTTTCTCTACAGTTCGTGCAGTTCATGCAGTCTGCAACAATTTGGGGAGAGACAGGTGAAATATAGATTCTGCCAAAATGTTTGCAAAGGTTTAAGACGACGTACTTTGGGCAAGTGCAGTTATCAGGGCTATTAAACAATTTTGTAACTTGGGCATGGAAACTTGATTCACGTCTGTGATATGAAAGGTTTTTTTTACAGTGATGTGATAAATAAACCGCGAGTGTCGATCAAATCTTTCGAAGTTTCTATTTACATAAAGGGACATTGCTTTTAAGGATAATGGTAAATGTTTACACCACTCAAAATCAATAAAAATGACATATTTTCTCTTACATGCAAATTAGATTGCCTTGAGTTATTATCTGGACGGAAGAGACTTTCATCTCTGTAACGCAGCCAGTGCAAGCACAATCTAAATAACGCTGCAAAGGAAGTTGTCAGAGGGAGGGCTCATAGTCCTCTATTGTTTGACATCAGTATTTTGAAAGATTTCAGGAATACAATCAGACAAGTATTTTCGGAGATTTTAAAGAGATACATAAATAATCAGAATCATCGGTAATATGAGAAAGGTATCAGAGGTGGATTCAAATGTTTTTTTAAATAAGATTGTACGTTATAAAATTGACACACAAAATCTTCAGACAAATTACACTGGTACTGTTGTGCCTTAAATAACGAAATAAGGATAACATGCTGGTAATTTCAGTTGCCAATAGTGCCAACCAATGAAAAGCTAAAAGCTATTGTGACATAACACCGGGTTAAGCATACAATATTATAAGAGATGCTCTGTAACCTAGGCACCTCATTCATAACCACGTGTACATAACGATTAGTCTGCGACAAAAAGACTCAATATGCTACACCCGATGCTGCCCTGTATATATGTCTGCATGCTGTTTAATCCAGGTAGGATATCGTAACGCTATGCCAGCGTTTGATGATTTTAATCAGAATTTTCATTTTGTTAACAGTGTTTAATTTCATTTTGCAAAGTTGAAAAAATGTTAGATTTTAGACTCTAAATAGATATCATTGTTATTTTTATGCGTCATACTGCGGCACAGTTTGGATCAGTGACTGTAACTTCCCTCTCACTGTCAACTGAAACCCAAAGCAGAGCTACCTTTATCTCCGAAATTCCTGGAATTGTTTGACTAAAGAGGTAGAAACATTTTGGCCGACATATTGGTCCACTTTAACACAAAATAAATTGAGGGCAAACGCTCCACCTGTTTTTATCGAACCTCAGTTGTTCATTTTTTTTCTTTTTATCTTTGGCAAAAGGATTTCTCTCAAACGTATATATAACAAGGTAGCAAAGCTGTCAAATGTACAGACAAAAACAGAAAATAAAGATGCAAAATAGGTCATTTTGTCAAATTTGATGCAATAATAAATAATGCTTATAATAGCAAAGTCAATCAACAATGAATATTAATCATGCAAAGCAGCTAACAGTAACATGGTCAATAACAGAAGGGAATCCAGAGATATTTTCTGACAGTATTCCAAGTTATCTTTGTTGATCCATCCTCCATTTTTGGTCTTCCAAGAGAAAAAATAGATACCTTTCAATGTAAAATTTAAAATCTGACCATCATCTGAAAGACCCAGAAGACGGCCTCAATCCACCCCTGCAATAAGATTACAGTTTCTGGACCATGAGAGTTCAAATTCACATAATGAAAATCCCAATATTTGAAAAATGTTGACAGTGCATAAAATAATCAATCTGCTCTTGCAATAACATTACAGTTTCAGGACCATGAGAGTTCAAATTCACATATTGAAAAACAAAACAATCCTTGCAGCAGTGTCCAAAATAGGATTTTCTTCTTTTTATGCAAGATAACATAATGCTTAACAGCGTAATGACAATCAATTTTTAATGATAAAGTAAAAGTATCATGGATATTCAGCAAATGTAACTAGTAAAGGTCTTCAAGCCAATGGAATTTCAAAGTCACACCTTGAAAATGTCGATGTGTAAAAATTTTAATTCTAACAAAAAAAAAAAAAAAAAAAAAAAAAAAAAAAAAACGATATGATTTCCAGAAAAGATAACCGATAAGGCTGGTTTTCCAACTGAAGCTATATTTTAGTCCTATGCTACTCTTCTATAAGTTTGAGAAGAGTGACATGGTTTTCCTTTAATGGTCACTATGGAGGCAGTGTTCAAAATAGGATTGTCTTCAATTTTGATACAATATTACACAATGCTTAACAGTATAATGACCATCAACTTTTATTAATAAAATAAAAGTATCATTGAAATTTAAAAAATGTGATATGGAAAGGTCTTCAAGGCCATGGAAATTCAGAGTCACATCTTCAAAATGCCAAAATGTAAACAAAAGATAACAGTACTGAAATGATTTTCTTTCCATTTTCAACACCTTTTTTTACATAAAACAAAATAATTAATTTACTGTCATTTTTAAATGATCAACTAAGAAAGTTGTTGACATAGGAAAATTATCAACAGAACAATTTTAATTGTCCAGTTTCCTCCATTCTGAGATTCTGAACATAGTGAATGATTTACTCTGACAAACTGTAATGAAATGGGTTTTCCTTTTTGACACTTTATTACACATTACACAATAAAAGGTTTACCATCATTTTTATATAATCAACAAGCAATATTGTTAAGATGCAGAAAATGTCAAAACAACACCTTTACATATCTAATTAGTTCAAAAATGAGACTATTAACATGCCTGAGAATTAAATTTGAGGAAAAAACACATATATACAAAAAAGGCATAACATCACCAAAACTTAACCAATCAAGCTTATTTTCGAACTTAATCTGTATTTCAGTAAGACTGATCTCTCCTGTGAATTTCAAGACAGTTGGCTGATCATATTTTCCTTGAAATGTGTTATTGGTGTTGCATGTATATTGTAAAAAGTGAGAAAAACAGCATAATTTTTATAAAAATGGCCCTATCATGCTGATTTTCGAACGTGACCTGTGTATTGTAAATATTCATCAGTTCTGTAAATTTTAAGTCAAAAGGTAAAACGGTTTTTCACTTATCATGTTATCGGTGTTGCATATATGCTGAAAAAAAGTGAAAAAAAGCATAACTTCCATAAAAATGGCCTGATCATCCTGATTTTCAAACGTTACCTGCGTATGTTGAATATTCATCAGTTCTGTAAGTTTCAAGCCAAAAGGTAAAACGGTTTTTCACTTATCGTGTTATTAGTGTTGCATTTATGCTGAAAAAAGTGAAAAAAAAAAAAAAACCAGCATAACTTCTATGAAAATGGCCTGATCTTGCTGATTTTCGGACTTTACCTGTGTATTATGACTATTCATGAGTTCTGTAAGTTTCCAGCCAAAACTTAAAACGGTTTTTCACTTATCGTGTTATCGGTGTTGCCTATGTGCTGAAAAAAGTGAAAAAACAGCATAATTTCTACATAAATGGCCCGATCACGCTGATTTTCGAACTTGACCTGCGTATAATAGATATTCATCAGTTCC